GAATATTCTAATCTCGCGTTTGACGCGGATCAAAAAATCTAGTATTACTAAAAACAAAATAAGATATTTTCACAAATACTCTATATTTTTAAAATAAAATATTCCATATTAATTACCATATATTTGTTAATTCCATATTCGTTAAAACGTTCTTTGAAACTCTTTTAGGATGACACCTAGGATTTTTACCTAGTGTCTCCTCTATTAATATATAGAGGATATTTAGTACCATCACTCTCATCATATCTTCCTTGATTCAGAGCTTTAAAAACTAGAAGTCGTACGTAAATCAAGAATTCTCTTTAACTTGTATTTTCCCCCTTCTGTTTTGTTTGTTAAGCCTCTATGCTGATATCTAGTCTATAGATTGTTATATTATAATTTTCCTGTTCTTGAGTTTGGTCTGATAATATTCTGAATCTTATAGGAGCATGATTTTTGAGAAAGAAGGTTCTAAGGGTGGTGACAGTGGAGTCACATTCAACGATGGTGTTAACGACTGTGTTAGGAAAGTGATTGTCGGAGAAGACTCTCGCGGTGTTGCTTATATCAAGATTGAGTACGGGAAAGATGAGAATATCGTGACATGCGAACATGGAAGAATAATGGGAACACACATTACTTAGTAAATCGTTGTTCCAATTGGAGGGAAAGAATGGAGCGAAGCTTGGTGGATTCCATGGACGATCTTATGATGTTCTTGACGCTATTGGAGCTTACTTTGTCTCGGTTTCTTATGCTTTCAAGCAATTAACGCCTCAAGGTGGGTACGTCGGGGATTCTCGGAATGATGGGGCTTATGACGGTGTGAGAAAAGTGAGAGTTGGAAAAAATGGTGACCGTGTGAGTTACGTTGAGTTCGAGTATTATGAAGGAGAAAAAACGATAACTCATTCTCACGGCAAGAAACCACAAGCAGAATCGAAAAAGGTCGTATATTTAACGAATCCGGTTTGTTGAATTCCTTTCGTTCTCTCTTTTTATTTAACGAAGCCGGTTTTTGCAGTTTGTGCTTGAGTATGTTAAATCTGTGGAGGGAACTATCGATGAAGATGGTTTCATCTGGGAAAGCGGTTGGTACCAAATTCGTGCTTGTGGCAAAAGGGTTGAACAAGCTTGTCGGGTTCCAAGGAAGGTCGACAAGTGATCATATAGGAGCTCATTTCGCGGTGGAGCTAGTTCCTCCGATCAAGAAACTAGAAGGGGCGCGAGTGGGATGATGGGATCCATGGCAATGTTAGGAAGATAACAGTAAAAAGGGACTTGTTATTTGTATGTACGGTCAAGTTTGGATGCGCATACATATTCGACGGAGAAGATCACGATTGATTGTGAAAACAGAGGAGGTCTTTACTCTATTCTTGAATATTAATTACCTAACTAATAACATTTTTTATAAGAAAAAACACTTTTTTTCTTTTTGTTTTTGTAGTTCAATCTCGTTGAAGATGAATACATCACATCTGTGGAAGGATTCTACTGTAGAAGGTTTCCGAATTTCCCTGTTACTGTGAAGATGCTTAGAATCACGACAAACAGACAAACATCTCAAGTGTTAGGACACGATCCAAACGGGTACGAGGGTACAAAGTTCGTGTTGGATATGAATGATCACAAGATCGTTGGGTTCCATGGAAGATCTTCACTGATGCTTGAACAAATTGGTGTTTATGTCAAACCAATTGATAACACTTGAGCATTTTATGTTTGCTATATATGCTTACTCTTTTCTTAATGATGTTATCGTTGTGGTCGTTTCTACTCGTCTTCTAGTACTTTGCTTCGCTATGCCTTATGGTTATTAAGAATAAATAGCTATGTTCCAATTTATCGCATATTGAGATGATACGTTAATTTTCTGATTTCTTTAGTATTTGTGATATGAGAGTTGTTGTTCTAAGTTATTTCATTGGATTAAATAATCTGCTAACAAAAGTTTACTTGTGGATTAGACTATAATCTCCTAACAATCCTATGAAATCCATAAACCGACCGGATTCTTGCTGGAGAGAAAAACCAATTATTGTGCTACTGCTTAATCGGAATACCATCATTGCTCAAACGTTGAAACCGTTTCTCCAAACAAAGTTACGAAACTAAAAGCAGACTCACTCACTCTCCATACATTTTATCTCCTGAAGCAATGTCTTTACATCGGGCCTACTGTTTGGAATCTCCTGTGTACAGCTTATACCAATTCTCCCCATCGCACTCGCCTCTCGTTTATCAAACTCTTCGCGGAGATATTCATCGACGAATCCATAATGTTCTCCATTTTCAGCTGCAATTCTCAGTGAGCTTGTAAGCATGAGCTTGCCAGAGAGTATTTGGAGAATGATGACTCCAAAGGCAAAAATGTCGGTTTTCTCAGTGAATTTTCCGGTTGTGACGTATTCCGGAGCTAAATATCCCATGGCTGCACTTGTTTTGAGTGCTGAGAAGACCATATCATCTGCTAGAAGATTGTGAAGACCCGAATCAGCGAGTAACGGGTTGAATTGCTCATCGAGTAGGATTTTCTCGACAGATATGTTCCGATGAACAATTGTAGGCTTCTTCGGTTGATCACTTCCATGTAAGTAAGCAATACCTGTAAAAAGATTGAGTGTTAAAATTACTCTCTGTTCCTGTTCCTAAAATTAAATTTGTTTAACTGAAAGAAGTTATATTTAAAAGACTTAACCTTTTGCAATCCCTTTGATGATAGAGACTCTTGCAGGCCAATCAAGAACCCGATTGGTTTCGTGTTCCTGTAAATCAAGAAAATTCGAGAGCTTTCCTTTTGAAGCGAAATCATAGATGAGGAAACACTCTCCTCTGCCTCTAGAACAGCAGAATCCGCGTAGCTTGACCAAGTTTTCGTGCGAGAGCGATGATAAAAGCTTTAAACCGTTCATGAATTCGACTTCCTCATTCTTGCAACAGCTTATGTTGATGCTTCTGATAGCTACAGGAGAACCATCTCTGAGGTTACCTTTGAATACTGAGGTAAAGCTGTTTCTGCTCAATAGATTCGCTTCTGAGAAGCATTGCGTTGCAGATTCAACCTCTTCTAAGTTAAACCTGAAGCTGCTATTGACAACAAAGAGATGAGACTCTTGTGAGAACTCAGCTCCATTTCTGCTGTCGCCGAGCGGATCCCATTCTTTGGTGTAAGCAAGACTCACGAGGGGCGATGCTCGGAAATCTTTTTGCTGATCAGTGCTTAATCTTCCCTCGGAAACCTCGGCCGTATTACTAATCTTTTGCTTCCTTCTTCTGTACCGAAAGAAGGTCAATAAACCAGCACCGATCATTGTTATAGTGACGGTAATCACGCTTGAAATCAAAGCAACTTGTGGGAGTTTCGACGATGATTTCTTGCAATGTGTTTGGTTGCAATGCCTTTGGAGATATACAGACTCGGAAATGTTATGAAGAGCTGATTTATCAGTGTCCATTTCACTCGAAGGCTGGTTGCGTTGTTCGATATTCGCATCATCGAAAGCAGAACAAGCTCTCAAAGAAGGAAAATCAATGCCACATAACCCGGTGTTGTTCTCAAACTGAAATTTCCCATTCAACTTCTTGAGACCTATCACAAGATTTAAAAACAATATCGACGAAAAACCGAGTCAAGGAAACAGAGAGATAAGCTTTTTACAAAGACATTTTAAGAATCAAACACTCACCAGGAGGAACAAAGCCAGAGAGAGTATTGTTCCGCACGTCAAGAGTATCCAATTGAGGTATATTTGCTAAGGTTTTTGGGATTAAACCAAATAGATTGTTGAAGCTCAAATCAAGCCTACTTAACATACTCAAGTTTCCGAAACTCGAAGGAATTTCTCCGGTTAGTTTGTTGTGTTGCAAAGATAGTACACTTAGCTTCTTCAAAGATCCAATGTTCTTTGGTATCTTCCCTGTTAAACTGTTGCAACAGAGATCCATAACTACAAACAAAAACAACACAACCATTCAGCTCTGTTTCTAGCTCTAGCTGACTAGCTCCGAGCAAGTCTTATTCAGTTAAGCCGCTTAATCTTAACCGGTAAAAGCAAAATATCGAAAAGTTGTCAGAAGCTCACCTTGCAAGCCAGCCATGGAGCCAATTTCTGCCGAAATCTCGCCGGAGAAGTTATTAACATTGAGATAAAGATCTGATAATTCAGTAAGATTTGTGATCTCTTGAGGTATCTCACCAGAGAGACTATTGTAATGTAAGTAAAGACCTGACAAGCATTTGAGCTCTGCAATCGCCGGAGACAGTTTTCCGGTCAGAAGTTTTCCTTGTAAGGATATGTTTGCGACTTTAAGGTGCTGGTTACAAGCAATTCCTTCGAAGGAACCGTCGCACGGGTCGCCGTTAAACGTCCATGATCGGAGAAGCTTGTTTTCAGGGTCAAGTGACGATTTTAACTCCATTAAAGCTTTCAGCTCGGCATTTCCTCGAACAGTTGGTGGAGTTGTAAGAAAGATTGAGACAAGAAGAACAAGTAACGTGGCATGTAAGAAAGCCATTTCTCGAATTTCTTGACTTTGCTCTTAGCTCATTTAAGAGATACTTCTGATCTCTCCTCTCTGTAGAAAATTTCTTCTTCTTCTTGACTTTGAAAGTAGTAAAGGAATGAAATTTATTGAACAGAGTACTCTGTTTCTTCTGGGTTTTGGATTATACGAAGAGAAAATAGAAACTTTTAGAGAGGGACACAATTTCAGAATCTAGACCGGAAAGTTTCTGTTTGTTTCTCGGATTTGGAAACTCTATCTTGCACCCTCGTGAATCAAAGTTTGGTTTTGTTTGAAGAATTTTTCTTGTTTTGGAGAGAAAGTGGAAGAGAAACAGAGCATAGGTGGTGAAAAGTGGGAAGACAGCAACAATGGCATTGAATACACTGTCTCTGTATGTCTGCAATAGAGAGAGAGGTAGACAGAGACGTGTACTGCTTTTGAAAAGGAAGGCCAACTCTTGATGACTTTTGTTTTTCTTTTCGGTGATTTGAAGACAGTTAATGTTCACATTTGTAAGTGGTTTGTTTCCTTGAAATGTAATAAGTTTTTTTTTTCATTTAAAAGCCTAACTAGATTTTGACGTCATGAAATTGTTTTTAATTGAATTTAATATTTAGACGTATATTCTAATATTTATAAACATACAAAAATGATATGTCTTGAGAATACATATAATAAAACTAAATTTTGATCAAACATAAATCTATTTTATCTTTGTTATTTTTCATTTCTCCCATCTATTAAAAATAATCATTAATTTTAGTTTTAAAATATTTTAATACTGTTTTTGACTCGGATAAAAAATTATAGTATTATTGAAAAATAAAGATATTTTCAAATATTTTCTATATTCTTTAAATAAAATTATTTATATTAATTACCATATATTCGTTATTTTCATATATTTGTTATTAAAAATTTTTATTAGGAAATGAATTTCGTAAAACCCTCTTAGGATGACATCTAAAATTTTCATCTAGTGTCTCCTCTATTAATATATATAAGATTTAATATTTAGACGTCTATTCTAACATTTATAAACACACAAAATGATATGTATTGAGCATACATATAATAAAACTAAATTTTGATCAAACATAAATATATTTTATCTTTGTTATTTTTCATTTCTCCCATCTATTAAAAATAATCATGAATTTATGTTTTTAAATATTTTAATACCGTTTTTGAATTTGATAAAAAAAAATCTAGTGTTATTGAAAATAAAATAAGATATTTTCAAATATTTTCGATATTTCTTAATAAAATTATCTACATTAATTACTATATATTCGTTATTTCTATATATTTGTTATTAAGAATTTTTAATAATTTTTATTAGGAAATGAATTTCTTAAAACTTCTTAGGATGACACCTAAAATTTTCACCTAGTGTCTCTACTATTAATATATAGACGATTATAGTACATGTGATTACCTCTTTGACAAAAAAAAGTATATGTGACCTCATTATATTGAATACTTATAAATTACTAGGTTAAAAATCTGCATATATGCGGATTTATGATAAAATATTTTATAATATGTGATAAAATATTTTATAAGTCATGAA